ATTAAGGCCCAAATTAACTTGACCATACCTTGATGCACACATTTGGATACACTCACAGGCCCAAAGGCAAGTATCCTAAGACTGAAAAAATATTAGGGTTCAAAAGCTCTCTCTCTCTCATGCAAAATTAGTCTAGAAATAACGAAATTCAATTGTTCCGGTTTGGGCTCCGACTTGGGCACATGACACATAGTTTTGAAAGGAACGACGAGACGAATACAACTCAACGTAAAATATCAATTTTTTAGACTGAATTATATTGTTTATGAGATCAAAACAAAGTTGTTATTAGGCTTTGCTATTAGGGTTTAGGCCTAATTATGCGGTTACATGTCTTCTTTTTCTATACTTCTCTTAAAGTGATTAATCACGTGAAGAGAAAAAAGGTGACATGAAAAAACAGAATATGTAACCCTGTGCGTAGGTAAGTTTTGATGCCCTCAAAGGCCAAAGCACATGAAAAAAAGACAAGCCAAGTGGAATATGTCACAAGGATCTTGGCTGAAAATGGATGTTGAAAGCCAGCTCCTTTTTATTCTGCCTCAAAACTCTCACATCATGCTAGTGGTAGATCCCTTTATCTATTAGTACTTATCCTCTTGAGAATTCTATAGCATCGGTCAAACATGCACCATAATTATCAATGGAGCCAGGTCCCACACTAAGGGTTTATAATTATCCTAAGTGAATGATTGTGTTCAGGGTTGGAAACAATCATAACAAGCCTTGAAAAACTTCAAATTTTGTTTTACTTTGTAATCTTCAAATTAAACTTCATGCACGTTTCTCTCGAATTAAAAAAATTATACATATCTCAGATTCATGTTCGAGTGCCTCCCCTTTCAATATCGTTTGTATAATAAATAAACAAACTTCCTTTATTGTGAACAACCACAATCTGATAATGATTAGGCTGAATTAATCAAAGATTTATACGAGAATAAGATAAATTTGTTCACTAATTCTCTGCCAATTGGCCAGCCGGCAGCCGCCATTCCACGTAAAAATGGCATTAGCCACTAAAATCTAAATATTACTTTACGATTATAATGCCAAAAGCTTTTCATATCCAAGCCTTCCCAAGGTCAAATTCGAAACAATAACGACAATGAAAAAGCGAAAAGCACAAAAAAAAAACAAAGGTGCTCTGGCCTTTTGCCTTTGCACTCCTTTATGTATATTTACGTGAATATTTTACACAATCACATCTCTCTTTAACGACGGCCAAAAAACAGAACATTTTTACAGTTGCAAAAGCTGTCGGCAAATAAAACCAAAACCTGTGTTAAGATTCCTGGTGAATTTCTGAAGCAACAGTTCTAGCCCAAAACTTCAGATGTTTCTTCATATCCGCAGCTGCAGAGACTCTTGGCAACCTCAGATTTAGCAGCGGTGAATCTGGTCGCTTTATCAGCCATGCCTCTGATAAATATGGCCTCGTCACTTCAACTTCTCCCTCACCATCTTCATCTTTTTCAGCTGCCACTTCCACAGAATCATCATCATCTTCACCGTTCTGTAACTTCTTATTATTGGACATTCCAAGCCTCTGTAGGCCAGGCACTAAGCTCATCATTCTTGGGCTCAAGTGTTCTCTCTTGAACGTGAAGCCTAAATCCATGAACCCTTTAACTTCTTCGAGCTCCAGCTCCCCCAAGCTCCTGCAGCTCATGGATTTTTGTAGCTTTCTCGCTGCTGCTTCTGCTGCAGCATAGCCTGGTGATGATGTTGCTGATGCTGATGAGCGTGTTCTGTTTTTCTGGGGACGTTTTTGCTGATCAGAAGAATGAGAGCGTTTTAACATTCTGTTGGCCAGTAGGTTTAATCTTGTTGGTCTGATTTTCTTCTTCTTTTTCGGGTTGATTGAATCGGTCGAGTTGGTCTCATCCTCCTCTTCATTGTTGGAGTCATCCTAATCATTGTTGCAGCATATGCATGAGACATGGGAGAAGTTTAGAAATAGAAGAAACATCAGCTAGGACAAGTGTGTGCCTAAAATTCAGAGATCAAAATATTTTACAGTACTTTGTTCGAATTAAAGTTATTAGACTTAAATTTTAGTACTTGGGTTTTGCTCAGATTTAAATTTCAGCAACTGTGTTTTTAATTTGGTCAAATTGAAATCCCAGTTCCAAAAATGAATTTTGACTTCTTTTTTGTTTTTAAAAGTACCTGTGGAGTAGCGGTTTGTGGTGAATCTGATGAGTTTTCTTCATACAAAAGAGGTGAGAAATCTATTTCTTCATCTGCAAGAGGTGTGAAGGAGACGCTGGATGATGGGTATGTAAAAGAATCTGTGATGATTGAGTCCTGAGGTGTTTGATCTTCAAAGGTACTTTTGGGGCCAAATAATGACATGGGCTCAGAGAAAAGAATGGTTTGGTGAAACCATAGACGATCTATAGCTCCTAAAAGACACAAGAAACTGTAATTGTTGGCCATGGGGACTAGCTAGAGCTACTTGGTGATCACAGAGGAAGAGAGAGAGAGAAAGAGAGAAGGAGGTGTTAGCAAAAGAAATATAAAGATATATATAGTGGGTGGCTGTGGTTGTGGTTGTGATTGCAGGGACAGAACAAAAACAAGTGAAAGCAAATGAGTGTAGAGAAGCGGTGGAACCTCCAACAGTCCTAGAAGATGTGGTCAGAAATCTTGGATTCTCTCAACTCCACACATCTTTAAAGACAAATTGACAAGAGTGATAAAGCCTTCCATGAGACATAATGTTGTGAGGGTCAGTATATACTTAGGAATATAACAAAAATTCAGGCCATGTCCATTTTATTTCAAAATTTGTCCAAGGACCACACAGAGCCACTGAAGTTGGATCCCAGGACTCTAAACCTTATCCCTGACTAGATTAGATATACATGAGTGTAAATCTTCAACCCGTTTGGTATCACTTTCGTTTTTGACTTTCGGTTCCTATTTTTCATTAAAAGATAGAGAGGAAATGGGTGTAAGTTCAACTTCGGGGTCGTATATCTTGGACTGATTAGTGCAGTCCTAATTAATTGACCATTAAGCATTCTAAAGATTTGAAGTTCTAAACAATTTTTTGTATAGATAAATGTAATAGTGGTTTGTCAATTTACAAACAAAAATAATGGAAGAAGCATAAGCTGCAACATCCCATGATGTGTACGTATTTCCCTGCAATTGGCTACCAAGTGGCAATCACTGAGTTTGCAGGCCTCCAGCCAATAACCCTCCTATATATACTTAACATTCTGATTCTACTCAAGATCCAGCATCTGAATTTCTTCTGAAACCCCTTGACGAGCTTCCCTCTTGTTCTACTATCTCATCTCTGGTATCCCATCTGTTAGAAGAATGGACACTTTCGGCTGGTTCAGCTGGTCTGAAAGCCCTTCTTATACTGTTCCTCATGGCGCTCCATTCTATGGAGAAAGATGAGCGTCCCGATTGCGAAAGTTGTTGTTCCTTCTTCCTCCTATTTCTCACCTCACGATGCCATTGCCTTAAAATGTCTGCCATTTGATCTTCTACTATCTTGCCTTTGAATTGTGAACCCATCTGTGTGAATATAACAAACAACACTTCAGAGATCAACTAAGTTTGATCGATATTTTTTCAAATTATTTTGGTGACAACCAAAGTTGAAGGTCTTGTCAACATAGCTATGAACAACACTTGAGATCAATATACTTCACCTGTGTGACAAGTGCATAGAGAGGAAGAGTAATATAGCTGCAGAGGATTTGAGTTGTCACCCTGAAAAATCAAAGGAATTTGCAATCATTAATGCAAACAAGGCATATGCTGATTTAGGTATCAGTATCATCAGAATTGATCAGAATGCAAGTTTTCAGGTAGTCTTACGCTAAGAAAATCCTTGTAACAATGATCACGGTGTTCTCATGGTAGCAAGATTTGAACGAGAATTGCCACTAAGAGCCACGAGAAGTATATTCTGTCATAAGGTAAGCAAAATCTATAAATTGAACTTCTGCAGACTATATATGGGAAAGAAAACTCACTGTAACCCAAACGAAGACGGCAAGCTCAAATGCATTCTGCAAGGTCCAAATTAAGAAAGTAAAATTAGTTAAGTAGGGTTTACTAAGTTATGAACTTCTAGATAAATGTTCCTTCGTTGTGATAAGAGCGAGGGCATACCACGAATAGAGTATAACGTAGCAGAACCAAGACAAATCTTGGTTTCCCAAACCAGAACAGATCATCGTTTAGTCGAACAAGAGGTGTTCCGACAATCACACTGCTCTGTTCTTTAATTTGAAGGGCCATTTTCGCAACAATATGCTCAAGCTTGGTTCCTAGAACCAGCACCACCTACAAACAAAAACAAAGTTAATGATTGTATTTGAAAACACATGAACTTTTATTTTCTATACATACGTTCAGCAATTTACTTACAAAGAGTGGGACATAGGATAGCCAGAGATATACAAACCAGCCTGGTTATTAAGAGTTCAAACAAATGCCTATCAATAACACATTTCTCAATCTCTACACAAACTCAAAAAGAAATTAATACACACATTATGAGCAACAAGAATTCTTACCATACACATCCACCAGCATAAAAGCTGCTAGCACAAACCACATCAGAGGGCTGTGCAAAGAAAAGAGACCACATTAAGTTTATCAATTAACAATAATTTAAAAAAAAGGTGATGACCAAATATGTAAGAAATTAGTGTCATTAGCAACCTGATTGAAACCATGACCTTGAAATCTTCCTCCAACGACCGCTGTATGTACTTCTGGAAATCGAAGTTGTGCCTGCTCGGCAGATGAGCCTGCAGAAAGATACATTAGCATTACCAATAAACTTAACTGATTCCATCAGACAGTTATGAAATTGGTTTTCTGGACTTTGAGTTTAATACCGCTATGAAGCCGTGTCTCATGGTGGTATAGTCAATTTTGGCCACTGAGTTATAAAACTGCCTGAAAAAAAGTTATGAAATTGGTTTTCTGGACTTGAGTTTAATACCGCTATGAAGCCGTGTCTCATGGTGGTATAGTCAATTTTGGCCACTGAGTTATAAAACTGCCTGAAAAAACATTTCTGCTCCGTTTCACAACCATCCAAAACCAAGCCATTATTAGAAGTGTGCTTAAGATTAATTTAAACAAGTAAAAGCTCATGTTTGAAGGTGATCAAAAGGGCCTTACCAACCAGAGATGAAACGATGTCTCTGTACAAGAAGTCAAGTGCCTTCTTCCAAATGTTGTTTGCCTTGCAAATCTGAACCGATTTGGATCTGCATGCAAACCTGTGTCAATAAGCTAGCAAAGAAAATTTCATACTTGAGCTTCTTTTCCTTGTGCTACACACAGTGAAAGTGCTTATTCAGGTGACATAAACAAAGATTGACAATTTTTCCCTTCCAACGTCTTTGACAAGATTAGATTAAGGGATTTTCACAAATAGGCCCATTCTTAAAGTCTTTCTGAACGAGTCGCGGTCAAACATATCTAGAGCCGTATAGAAATGTAAAACACAACGGCATAATCATAATGCAGCCACAGCTTATGTGCAAGATCTTCCAATTACAGGTGGCTCAGGCCAAAAAGCAAATGAAAAAAAGTTCAAAAGACAAAGACTTTGCAACCATTTTGAGATATTTTAGAGGATTTTAATATGAACCCAGCAGCCTTTCTAAGAAAAGAATTTTGTAAGAGTCGGTCATCTCACCTACCAGAAAAAAAGAACGTATTTTAAATTCACTAAAAACATGTCTAGAATCTGGTTCAATTCCTTTGAAAATTCAGCTCAAATTTTATTGGTACTTCCACTTGTACTTCTATGGGACATACCGTTCTCAACTTGGTACTCCATTGTTCTAGTCTCTTGCTCCCAACTTTCCCAGCGCCTCATCTGCATATAAAATTCAAGATTTTTTTTTATATAAAAATTTAACATCATTTTCACATAATTAATTGCCTTAGTAAATTAAATAAAGCTTGAAATAATCTTGCAATGAACATACCTTGGCCCTCCCCAAAGCCATGGTGAGAACACTGTACAGAATATGCATAACCGCCAGCACAAAAATAAGTATGTGAAGTTGATGCAGAGCATTCTTCGTCATGAAAGCTACTTTTCCCTGCGGAAAACAAAAATCTCATGTGAATTAAATAAATCATTAAGCACCCAAATTACCCAATTAACTCCATGATCATCAAGGCACTTACGTCACCGCAAGAATCAGAAGCAGCTGCATCGTCCTCCTCTGCAAGCCGCCTATGCACTGTTTGCCTTAGTATTTCATCATACAGACCATTTGCGGCGGCAGAAAAATTCGTCACAATTTTATTCACAATTACAAAGTGCTCAACATCCTCTGTTTCTTTTTCTTCGGTTGCATTCTTTTTTTTACATGGAAGCATGATGTCTCCCATCCTGGCTGGTATGCAGATTTTAGATATTTTTTCTTGGGTTACCGCCAGTAAAAGTGACACAAACCCCATAAGCATCAGCTCTGCAAAACAAACAGAACAATAAACTTCAGTTAATTAACCCAATACAAGTATCAAATAGTTTGGTGGATATTGCACCTGATTTAAGCTTCACAACTGCCTCCGTCAAGGCATTTTTCCGATGCCTCTTGAGAAACTGCAACAAATTCAAAGAGTTCTAGCATATCAAATTCATCGTCATACTTTTTTCATGACACGTTATGTTATCATACTGTTATTACGAAAGAAAGAAAAAAGGAGAGCTTACGTTGACAAGGAGGTTGATGGAGTGCTCGAGGAAGATGGAGATGAAGATGAAGAAGAAGCAAACGGTAGCGAGTGCCCATGTCGGGGTGTATTCTAGAGTGGCGCCGCCGGAGGCCACTGCCATGACGTCCTTAATCTCTTCTCAACTGGATGAGATTGTTCTTGTTTATTTCTTCTTGGTCTTATGTGATATTCCTAATTTCTTCAACAATTTATGGCTGATAATTTTCGGACTTCTTGAAATGAAACTTTGATAATTCGAAGTCGTTGTCTCTCTCCCATTCCCACTTGAGATTAAATACCCAAATACTTGTCCTGCAAAGTTACTATATATATAAGTCTCTGTATCATGGTGTAAGTCAACCGTAAAATATGTAATGAAAGTAAGAATTTCAAAGAAATTGAACTTTTCAGATGTTGTCTTAATCCTATGCATTAAGTTTTTGATGTGCCACCGTTCTCTTTTTCTTTGCTACGACAACCGCGTAGCAATTGGAACTTGTGACTTTCTAGACATCCGTCAATTCTGATTATCATAATATAAAATTATTTTCTGAATAAATGTGGGACAACAAAATAAAAAATTTTAAATTTTTTTTCTGATTATATATATCCATTATCTACTAGATATTTTTGGCAAAAGAAAAAAAGATATTTGTATAAATAATGAGACAAGAAAAATCTTTTAACATGTTCATTGTTTTTCTTTTCTGATAGATATTGTATGATATTTTATATTCACTGTATAAACTATGATTTTTCTTTTTCATTTTAATAATAAAAACATAATAAATTTACATAATAATCCATAACAGCTGATCCAAAATTCAATTACTTTTTTATATACAAAGCGATATTAAGGGAGACGAGATTCTATTCCAACAAAGAACCTCAAACACGTGTATAAATCTCATAAGCACTTGAGTTGCAAGCTTCTTGAAATCCGAAAATTCAAATTAACCTTGAAGCATAGGAATCAACATCTATAAAGAATCAAAGATTGTTGAATCAAAATAAAGAAAAAAGGAATCAGAGAATCAAAGACTGTTTAAGCAAAAACAAAAAAAGAAAGAATCAAAATACTTTTTTTTTCCCTGTTTCTTCTACGCGTTACACTTGGACACTGTTTGACTGTATGTTTCCCAAGCGTCTATTTAAGAATCAAGCAATGGGTTTGTATTTTACCTTATTTTGACTTGGCAAGGGGATCCAGAAGACAAATACATATACATATACGTAACATTTTGACCTAATCCTTGGTGGCGGCTCAACCCTCAAACCCACTTGTCTAGAACCAGAAAATTAGGCAGAAATAAATGACACGTGCACGACCCCCTTTTTGTTTATTTGTTTTTGTTTTTGGTGGGTTTTGGTAACAAGAATTATGTAACAAAAATAAGGGATTAATAATAAGTTAGGGGTGGAGGAGGGTATATTCTCCAACAGAAGACTTTCCAAGGTCTTTTGTTCCACACGTGACACGACTTTATTTGTTAAGAATAGTCATCAACTTAACAATTTGTGTGTGACCTATGATCTCTTTTACTATTTGTATTTTAACATGGGGACAGTGATACTTAGCCACTTGTCTTGTTTTTGAAAAAACTTCTTGGCTCATTACAAGAAAAGTGAATCACATTTTGATAAATAAGGAGAGTTTATGCGCTAGTGTGAAATTGTGATATGTAAATAAAAAAGAATGACTCGTAGCTTCAAGATATCTTGAATCATTATATACAACGAATCAGTAATATGATGAGATTTACAGCATGAGGTGCTTCTTCAATGGTACTTTTGGAGCCACAATCCAAATTGAGATGCAAAAGTACTCTCAGACCAAAACCAATAAAATTTAAAATTTTACTCAATTCCCATAATTTCCATTCCCTCTTGTTCTACTATTTCATGTTTGATCTCCCATCTGCTAGACAACAAATGGATACCTTGAGCTGGTTTGGAAGCCTGCCTTGTATTAGAAGGGACTTCTGTACTAGTTAGACTCTTTCTCATGGAGCACCACTCTGTGGAGAAAGATGTGACTTCAGATTGTGAAAGTTGTTGTTCCATCTTCCTTGTATGCCTCACCTCAGCTCTCCATTTCCTTAAAATGTCTGCCGTTCGATCTTCTAGTATATTGCTCTTGAATTGTGAGCCCATCTGTTTGTATATAGTTAACAACAGTACTAATTCAGATATATATCAACTAATTAATTAATAGTTTGATCCTTAAAACTCATTTCTAAAGTTTTTCTTGTAGATGTTACTATGATCAAACAATTCAGATATGCTTCACCTGTGCCACAAGTGCATAGAGAGGAAGAGTGATGTAGCTGCAGAGGACTTGGGAATAAGGAAAGTTTATGCGCCAGTGTCAAATTGTGATATGTAAATATAAAAAAATGACTCGTAGCTTCAAGATATCTTGAATCATTATATACAACAAATCAGTAATATGATGAGATTTACAGCATGAGGTGCTTCTTCAATGGTACTTTTGGAGCCACAATCCAAATTGCAGATGCAAAAAAGTACTCTCAGACCAAAACCAATAAAATTTAAAATTTTACTCAATTCCCATAATTTCCATTCCCTCTTGTTCTACTATTTCATGTTTGATCTCCCATCTGCTAGACAACAAATGGATACTTTGAGCTGGTTTGGAAGCCTGCCTTGTATTAGAAGGGACTTCTGTACTAGTTAGACTCTTTCTCATGGAGCACCACTCTGTGGAGAAAGATGTGACTTCAGATTGTGAAAGTTGTTGTTCCATCTTCCTTGTATGCCTCACCTCAGCTCTCCATTTCCTTAAAATGTCTGCCGTTCGATCTTCTAGTATATTGCTCTTGAATTGTGAGCCCATCTGTTTGTATGTAGTTAACAACAGTACTAATTCAGATATATATCAACTAATTAATTAATAGTTTGATCCTTAAAACTCATTTCTAAAGTTTTTCTTGTAGATGTTACTATGATCAAACAATTCAGATATGCTTCACCTGTGCCACAAGTGCATAGAGAGGAAGAGTGATGTAGCTGCAGAGGACTTGGGCTGTCACCCTGAGAAATCAAAATGTTGGAAATTTTCAGGTCGACGGGTCGAGGGCCCACTCCAACAACACCGATATTGTCCCCACTTTACCACCTGCACAATCCTCAGATGTGGGGTTTTATCACAAAAAGGCCTCGGTGATAGTTAGAGTGGGGTAATTCTATTTAAAGTACTCTTTCTCCTTTCCTCTTTCCGATGTGGGACACAATTGGTTTCAACACTCCCCCGCACGTGAGACCCCATGTTGTGGGTCACACGTGGAGATCCACACATCGGCAACCACGTGGAGCCATGTCGGGACTCACCCATCACGCGGGGCCATGTCGGGACCCACCCAATCACGTGGCACCTTTGGGCCTACGTGGAGCCATGTCGGGACTCACCCATCGCACAGGGCCATGTCGGGACCCACCCAATCACGTGGCAGAACGGGCCCGCCCCTGGCTCTGATACCATGAAGAAAAACTGAATGAAATTCAATTATCTTGTGAGTTTTGATTTACAATGAGTAACCAATATATACAAGAGAAGAGGCACAACTAACCATGCCATTTCCTCAATTAGCTCCTTGACTTAAGGAAGAGTAAATTACAAGTAACTACAACAACAAGAAATACAACTACATGACAGCTGTAATACCCCGAAAAATTCAAGGTGGATTTTTCATATTTTAGTGAAAAATAATATAATTGTGGAGATTGATTATGAGTATTTTATCAAGTGATTTTGGATTGAGATTATTAAATTAAGTGTGTTTAATTTGAAGTTGGGCAAAAATGACCAAAACACCCCTATGCGTGACAGATTACCAAAATACCCTTGTAGGCAAAGAAAAAAAGAGAAGGAGGCAACGTGTAAGCCAAGCATTTCTTCCCTCCTTCATTCTTCCCCCCTTGCCCTCAAGTTTTCCTATCCACCATTTATGAAGAGTTGAGTCACCTAGTCTAAAATGGTGAGTCACCTAGCCTAATTAAGATTCTTAAATCTTGAAATTATTCTCTTCCTCCCCATTCATTGTATCAACACTCTCTAACTTGATGACTCACCTAGCCTAAGGCTTTTTAATCATAAATTCATTCTTATCCTCATCATTCATTGTATCATCCTTTCTTCCTCATTCACTTATCTTCATCCTCATTTTTCTTTTCTTCCTCTTCAAAATCTAAAATTCGTTACTTCCTTGGAGCAGCCGAGAACTCAAATTTCGGAAGCTCAAAGGAGAAAACTTTCTTCATAAAAGTTGTTCATTTACGTGATTCCTAGAACATACTCAAATTTCAGCTCAATCCGACTAGTATAGGCTCTGAAACGTTGGTATGATCACAATGAGTTTACCATTTCCTGATTTCACAGCAGTATGCTCGGTTTCAGTTTTTTTCTGTGATTTCCTGTACTCAAATGACTTTGGTTTCTTCATCAAAGTTGTTTGAAATGCTATCGATTATAACATATCAAAATTTCAGATTGATCGGACTTCTATAGCCACCTTGGGAATGTTTAGAGTGGAACTTGTTTATAGTCTTCAACCTTAGGTCCTTCCCTCGTTTTCAGTCCAAAACACTCATTTCAAAAGCTCAAAACACTATGGTTTCTCCATGATAGTTACTCCAAATTGTCCTCTTTATAACATATCCAAAGATCATCCAAAAGTAACCATTATAACTCTCTAAAAATTGGTATGAACAAAACTTGTTCAATTGATTATGTTGAATTTCTTGTTATAGATATGTACTTTCTCTCAAATGGCTTATCATTCAATTGCTCAAATTAGCCACTATCCTCTCAAGTAAATGATTATTTGAAGGCTTGAAGCTCATCTTTTTATTGTCTCTTTGAGTACTAGTTTTAAACCAAGTGTTGGTTAGAATGCCTCAAGTATATATATATCTTTCGAAGTGTGTTTTTGTGAAGTTCTAGATTATTTCGATGTGATTTTTGTTCCAATTTCAATTTGGGGTTTTGTTACATCAAAATGAATATCTCAAGGGTTATTTCAAAGTTGTTTTTGTGCCATTTGAATTTAAATTGATTTTTTTGTGAAATTTCAAAGTAGAGACTATCCTGCTGGAATTGTT